TCTTTCCCATAACAACTGTTTTGATGCTGAATTACGTATGGGAGAAGGATTAGTGATTAGATATTGTTCTTTCTCCGAACCTTGTGGTGCCTCCTCAATAAAACAAGTGTTTGAAACTATTGCATCAACTATTCTACGCGATGAAACCCTGGAATTACTACCAAATCTCATACAAGGATCAACATCATCTTCCAAACAATGTCTCATAAATAATATAGTGTGTATTTTCTGTAATCTTATTGAATTACTCTGACTGACAAACTCTTTGAATTCCAATAATAATTCATTATCGATACCTATTCCATCTTCACCTGTAGGATTAGGTAAGGTTGCTGCAGCTTCTGGTGCTCGTTCACGTAATCCAAACAATTCAGCAAAATCAATACTTGCTCTGAACGATGGGTCACTTGAACTTGAACGTTTACTTTCAGGTTGTGATTGTTGTTGGTGTTGCATTGTTTGTTCTAGTTTTTCCCTTAATTCATTTAATTGTGAACTTTCTGCAGCTAAACGTTCTTGAGTTTCTGCTAATTGTTTTTCTAATAATTTATGTTGCACCTCTAATTTATGCTTGTCTTTACCTATAACAGCTACCATATCATTAGCTTTCTCAAACAAAGCCTTGGTCAATTCTTCAACTTCCCCCTCAACAATGTCTTTTGAATGTTGCAATTCTGCCACTTTATCAATCTCGTCAACATATTTCTCATTTAAAATTTCCATATCTTGTTTTAAAGCTTCCATTTTCCTTTCCAGATCATTGTATCGATCAGTTTTTATATCAATTTGATCTTCTAATTCTTCAATTGTTTTATTTAATTTGTTAATATAACTAGTTTGTTCTTCAGCTTTCATGGTTCCTTCTATGATTTGTTTATCTGCAACTTCCAATTTTTCACGCTGTTCCGAGCATTCTTTATGTAGATTTGCTAGAAAAGGTATAATCCTAGCACAACGAGAACAACTGGCTGTCTCTTTAATTGGTGTTATTTTTTGACAAATACATTCATCTCCATAATTATCATTATCTTTGACACCATCGCCATCACCATTATCATCATTTTTATCATCATTTTCATTATCAACATGATTATGGTTACTGTTAATGCTTTTTAGATTATTGTTGTTATGATTAGTTGTTGTTGCTGATAATGATGATCGAAATTCATCTTGATTTTGTATTGAATTCCAATCGTCATTGAATTTACCTAATAAATCACTCGATATATTAATATTTAATGAAATTAACAATGAATAATTGAATGAATTGGAATAATTGTTAATTTGAAATTTGAAGTATTAGGGGAAAAAAAATGAGAATCGAAAAAAAGAAGTTAACGTAAATAAGCAAATTGTTTTATTAATAATTAAAAATTTACCATTAGTTACCAGATCACTTCTTGGCATGCTTGCAATTGGCGTGGTTGGCGTAGTTGTAGCATATATTGTAGTTGGTGTAATTGGAGTCGATGCCTCACTTTCAGTCATTATTTAAATTAAAAAACTAAACAGGAAATTTTTCTTCTTTTTTTTAAAAAAAAAAATATAAAATTGCTGAGAAAATTATTAATTTTTTTCTTAGTAATACAATACTAATATAAATATGTGGCTGGCTGAGATTACGGAAATTTTATATATTAATATTAATATAATTTTTGGTAATATTAATATATAGTAATAGTCAGTTACTTGATGTTGATCATCTTTGTCTTTTTCCTCCTTTCCTTCGAACATTAAAATTATTATTATTAAATTATATTAATAAAAATTATTATTAATGTCTCTTCCAAGTGCTGATGAACTTGAACAACTCCCTGAAATAGGTTGGAAATTAATTTCAATACTTTCTCTTTTATAAAGCTTGGAAATATACTTCCCGGTGATTATACATTATTTGTTCTTGTTCTTGTTATTTAGAGAAGCAATGGGCAGTTAAAGCAATGGAACATGCTGAAACATATTTTAAATTAGTATCTTCTGTCGATGGGAAAACTCTTCGCTTGACAAGGTTTCTCCGTTCGTTCAAAATTCCATCCTTTTCGTTTTCAAAAAAATCAATTAATAATCAACAATTATTTAATTCTTTATTTTTAGACTTGACGACGAAATATATGAAGATTTTATGAATTCATTTACCGATATTGATATTGAAACGATTGATGAAGATTTAATGAAATCAGATGAAGGAAAAAAAAAGTGGAGGGAATGGATAATGAAATACGATACAAAGGTAAAAGATTATAATTTTGGAACTTTACTAAGGAAAAGTGCTAAAAGAGGTTATGATGAAGACAATACTATATTTGGTAATTATATATATATATATATATATATTTAATCAAATTTATGATATAAAATATTATCATCATTCATAATATAATTTTATTACTATTATTAGTTACACGAATGCAGGTAAATATTTCTTTCGATTAATAAAAAAAAATAATAACATGTCTTATTTCACATACTTCCTTCGTTCACTTACCACTCATTCTCAAATTCTCATTATTTCTAGTTTTATGCAATTGAAATTGCAAGAAATAAACAAGGATTAAATTCTTACTTGGTATCAAAATAAAGATAAAAAAAATTTCATTCATTTAGATCAATTGATAATTTCTTGTTGTTTAATGTGTAAAGATGCATATGTGCATTCATATGTATATATATATGTATATATATATATATATCATGAAAACTTGTTCGTTGCAAGTTTTTAAGATTGCCAATACAATTTTCTAATTATCTTTCAAAATGTCTAATAATAGTTTTTAATCCTTAGAAAATTAAAACTTTTGTTCAACAATCTATAAATTCCAAAAAAAGATGCTCTATCATTAAGACATATCAACAGGGTGATAAATGATTTAGAAAATCTTAAATGAATCAGTATATCTTGAATATAATACTTATTTTTGAAATAATATATTTACAATAGAATTGTTAATGTGAATAATCTATGAACAAATAGAATGGATTTAACAAAAATTTGATAAAAAAATAAGATAATGGTGATGATGACAAGTTGAAAATGATTTAATTACATAATTTATGGATACTATCTTAATTATTGATGGGATAAAATCAGTCAAGATTAATATTCAAGAACTAGAAGTGAATTTTGATTCTAATTTACCATCATACGAATTCTGTGTTTTTCATGGATGAATTTCAAGATAAATAATAGTCATAATGAAAATTAAGGTTAAATAGTTGTGTGGGTATAATCCAGCCTGTCAAAATTTAAAAGAAATGTATTCAGATTATTATATTGGATTAAAATAGATAACAGGTTTTAAATTTGATATAATCATTACTTATTCGCAGATTTCAATCAATGTATGAATCCTTTTTTTTTATATGTTATATATAAAGATCGGTTTTTCAGTTTACATTTGACCCAAAAATTTCAACATTCTAAATTCGTTAAATATGCAAAATATACATAATAATTTCACAAAAAATTATAATAACTTGTAGCTTGGTTTTGGCGAATGTGTGTTGCGAAGTAGAGATGCTGGAAGGATTGTTTCTAATCTGTTTTTTTATTGGCTCATGGGTTATTTCTCTTACTACTCCTTTTATTATCCTTTCTTTGTTCCCTGTTGGAATTTTCGTTATATTCGTTCTATTCGACTCAACTTTCAATGTAATTTGAATACTCAAATTGATAATAATAAACAAATAATTCAAATAAGCCTTATTTGAATAGAAACCCTAATGACGTTCTATTTTTTTCAATTCATATATAAAATTCATCATCTCCCCCAGCTTTTATACTCTTATTGTTTCAGGTTCTAAAATACAACGCCTTTGAGTAATTAAGTCTGTGCCTCCAAAAAAAACTCGTTCAACCAGGACATGATTGTTATTTTGTTATTAGATTAAAAATTAATAGATTTAATTCTAAATAAGCAGAGTGCTGAGTAGTTTCTAGCCTAAGCTCCGAACGATTCAGTTCAAACTGAGAATTTTGGTTCCGTTCAAAGTAAAAAACCAAACCGAATGAATCGAAATTTTTCGGCTTGAACTGAGCCATTCGGAGCTATATCTGCAATATTGGTGTGTGGAAAGAAGCACTTGATACTTAACTTTCTTCAAAGAATTCTTCACATTATTATTGTGCAGTACATGCTTTGAACTTAGGCATAAAGCAAGAGTTAGAATTGGTTAGTAATTCAATTGATAGAATAGGTGAATTAATGATCAAAATTAAAGATTCAACTCGCCTTTGTGATAAACCTCATGGTTTGTGTGACTTAAAAGGAATTAATAAAATAATTAACTCACGGAAAAATTATCTAATATTCTAAATTTAACATTCTTATTTAACTCGGAATTCAAAATCATTCATTCGCTTTAAAGAAAACTTGGAATTATTCTTAAAATAAAGGTCTTGTTTATTTTTAAGGAATACCTTTAATTAGAACAAATTAAGAGTTTTTGAAAATCAGAGAACTAGATGATTGAACCTTTAACATGTATAAATACCGTTGTAATTTTCTTAATTTCATGTACTATCTTCATAATTATTTTTATCATATAAATAATAAAAACATAACAATAAAAATATATCCAACTAAATTCTTTACTAGACCCATCCAACTAAATATTTAATTAATTATTATCTTACCATGGATGCCTTTGCTAAATATAGTTGTATGTATTTATTTTAGAAACAGATCTTAGGAAGAAACCTAGGTAAGGCCAGAAGGTACTAAGCTGACAATATTAAGAAAAGCCCAAAGGTATGGGGTATGAGGCTAAGGATATTAATAATTTGGACTCAGGCAGATAACAGAGAGTTTCTGCTGGAAAAATATGAGCAGGGATGATAAGAATTGTTGCCAGAAAATTATTAGTGAAAGACACTATTAAAATTATTGATTATAAAGCAATTGTATTTTAGGATTAAATAATTAAAGAATATTGGAATTGTATTATTAATAGAGTGTCCAGGATTTTGCTATTACTATGAACTTTTCCAATTTGCAATTTACCCAATAAAGGCAATTAAATTCTCTTTATTAGTAAGATCCTTGTAATTTCCAATCCTTTTTGGTCCACATGTTAAGTCATCAAACACTGTTGTTCAGTTATCAACCAATCAAATTTCGTTGTCACTGCAAAATCCTGGACACCAACTAGGCTCTCCACAAAAATTTTTAAATATGTGTGTCACCAATTAATTTTGGGAGAGCGTATTTTAATTGATGATAACAAATTTTTATTATTTTATGTGGATCAGAATGAATAGGCTAATACTAACGAATTAGATTTATTAGCGAATAATTTTGTTTTAGTGATTTGATAAAAATGATTTATTTAATTTTGTATTTAGTCGAAACTAATTATTAACTTATTATTAAGTTAATTTGTTACAAAGTTATTCTTTGATTACAGCGAATTCTCATTCCTTATATACATGTTTGATTATATGTATCCTAGTTTAGGATAATTAGCCTAGATTAAGATATTTATCCTAATTCAAGATAATTCTCCCAAGTTAGGATAATTCTCTCTTTCTAGGATAATTATCCTTCTTTGTACACAGGATAATTCTCCTAATCTAAGATATATATCCTGATTCAGGATAATCTTCATTAATTTCTACTAAATAAAGGTCTAATGCGAACGTGTTACTAATTAATTACTTCTGCGGAATGTAACACGAACTCATATAATTAAATTGAATCATTCGGAAATTATTACAAAATAAAAATAGGATAAAATAAAATTAAAAATAAATAATAGATGAAATAAATAACTAAAAATAAATAATGAATAACTAAAAAATAATAAATAAATAAATAAATAATATAGATAATATAAAAATAAGATATAAAATATTACTCCGGATTTTCGGGGTTATTGATCAGCGAATTAAGGTCCAATTCGCATTCCGGTGACATATTCTTTTTTAAATTTAGGAGCAGTGACATTGAAATTCTGTTGACGCACCCAGCTTTGACACTTTTTTGCAATATCCTCATCATCTACAAGTCTAATTGTTTTTTTATGTTTACCTTTATTTGATAGTGGAAGTTTATTATACCTTAACCAGTAATTAGTAATCTTACAAATTTGATGTGTCTTCCAAGGACTACCATCAACATATACCAATTTTGCTACTTCCAAACTGGATTTTACTTTGTTACATTGTTCTTTTCAACAGATTTCAAATATTCATATATGGATCTCTTTTTATTATACTCATCAGCTATCATATTATGCCCTTTATCCAATTCAACTTTTAAGTCCTTTATTTCTTTGTCAATACTATTATTAGACCATATATTATCATCAGATCCACTTGAACTTTCTATTAACTCAAGATTTTCATTTATTTCTGAAGATGGATCATTATGAACTGGAAATTAGGTTGTAATCTTACTTGCACTAGCTTTATAAATAAGCCATTTGGGCCCCATTTATCATAAAATGTTGATTTTGGAACTTTACCTTTCATACATAGTTGGCTCGATCTAAAGACCTCCTAAATTTTAGGCAAATTTTAAAAGTATAGAAGTCACTTTCTGTCCTACCTTTTAAAAAAATAGCTCTATTAGTTGATAGAATATGCCCTTAGTTTTAATGTAATAGAGAGATTTTCGTAAAAAAACTATTTGTTGTAGAGTTCTATTCTTTTTTAAAAACATATACTTTACTATGTTCACAAGGAATTTGTTCACTATGATCATTTCCAAATTTAGGAAAAATATTACCAAATTTAGACTAGCCATTGACTATCTTATCTAAATTTGACAGTAAGAAAACTAAAATCACGTGAAGTACTATTTTTTGAAAAATTTGACTGCGTGGCGCAGCAATAGGAGTCTTTAGACTGAGCCAACCATATAAGCCTCTTTTCTTTTTTTTCCAATTCATTATTGTTGGTCCAAGTCAATTCAAGTTTTGAACTAATTAGTCTATCTCTACATTTTTTCTCTTGTTCTAAATCTAAATCATTTTCCCATCCACTATCCTCATCATCACCCCATTCACCTTCTTGCAGCTCAATTTCTTCCATATCATTATCCATAAATGTTTGAAAATTGCTTACCTCAACATCTTTTAATAAATTCAAATTAATTTCACACCAGAGTTAACTTCTATTTTTGATTTTTTTGAGCCAAACTTCCCATTTAATTCTCTTGATTGATTTTTGTTTTGAAGCTAGAGGCATTTTTAAAATTCAAACTCAGTCAAATAATAAAAATAAAAATATATGGTTTATTCAGATGTGCGTATTACATAAAAGAATCAGGCATCCCTATTGGACAGACATAAATTTGCCCCTGAAAATCTAGTCCGAAATTTTACAAACAATTAATAAAATACCCCAACTTTGAACTCTAATAACTTTTTCAAAAATTATGTTAATACAGAAAGTAAACTGATAAAATAAAAGAACATTTCTCATTCTTTCAGCTTATCAGTTTACTTTTTGGCTGTAACACAAATTGAAGTGCTAGATGCAGTTAGAAGTTATGCTATAATTGTTGATGACTCTAAATGATTGGCACCATGGTGATCAGTGGTGCAAAAAGGGTAAAAAATTGTCAGTTGATAACAGTGTTGTGACCCGAAACTCTGAGTTTAGGGAAAACCAGAAACAGAAACTAACAGAAACCAGTTTAGGTTAGTGGTTTATGTTTAGGTTTAGTTTTAGTTTTAGTTTTCTGCTTAGTGTAAGTTCATTTTCCAAAATGTTTCGGGAAGCCAAAAGAGTTTCTGGTCACAACACTGGTTGATAATGTTTAACAAATAATAAAGCACAATGTTTTGGCATAACAAACTTTACTCTTTTTATGTATGTATAAAGTCACATAGATTATTGTATCAAAATATTAAAGGGCTTGTAATGTTTCTTGAAAACTTTTATATGTAGGAAGCTGAGATTCAAGAAGTTCATAACATAAAAATTTGTAATTTTTTAATTTCCAGCCAACACTATCAAGTATTCTGACCAGAGCTATACATTTTTTTTATCGGTTTATCAACAAAAAACTTTTATTTTACCAAGTGAACCACATGTTGTTATAAGTCAAGCTAATAAAATAACTAAAAAAGAATTTTAAAGTAGTATTCAATGATCTTGAAAGAATTCTAGGGTTGTTCTTTATACTTTTTGTGTAGACATGAGAGTTAATGTGTGAGGACAGTGAGATTTGGGAATTTTCTTATTTTATTAATAACAAAATTTTATATTAAAATGTCAATCATTTCTCTGATTCATTCATGAATCAGCAATTAAATTTTGTTTAAGTTATAGATAAATCGAAATTCATTATTAAAATTTTTGATCATCTGATTTTAATCCCTTTTCTGGCCACCAAAACTATTTCTGGCTTATAAAACACATACAGTGCAAATCATCTATAATCATTAATTGCTTATAGTAACAATTGGTCAACTTCAAAATACTAAAACAAAAAAAAATTATATCAT